AAGTACGTATAAGCTCCTTATATAAGTTATATAATTAAGCTATATTAAAGGCTTTATAGTGGCTTATATAAAGAGCTTATATATACTGTAAGAGTTCGTAGGACTTTCGTAACACTTTCGTAACACCTTCGTAGCACTTTCGTAACACTTTCGTATGACCTTCGTATGAGGCCGAATTGGCCCTCCGAGCCCCGCCCCCCTCCCCTCCGCGCTCCCCGCTTCCAACCACCCCAGCCCGCCGCCCCACCCCGCACCCTCAACTCTCTGCCTCTTACGAAAGTCATACGAAACTCTTACGAAAGTCTTACGAAAGTGTTACGAAAGTGTTACGAAGGTGTTACGAAAGTGTTACGAAGTCTCAAAGTACGTATAAGCTCTTTATATAAGCTATATTAAAGGCTTTATAGTGGCTTATATAAAGAGCTTATATATACTGTAAGAGTTCGTAGGACTTTCGTAACACTTTCGTAACACCTTCGTAGCACCTTCGTAACACCTTCGTAACACTTTCGTATGACCTTCGTATGAGGCCGAATAGGCCCTCCCCTCCCACTTTTCTGTGGCACCAGGCCCCGAGGAGCTCTGACCCCTAGTCCCTTGTTGCTGGGAGCTCAACCAGATTTAGTCTATAGTCTATAGTCTATAGTCGTAATCTCTTTCGGTTTGGATTTGAAAACCTCCTGGACCAGGACAATTCGGTATATATACACCGATACAACATCCTGATTCTGATGGTCCTGATGCTCGGTCTTGAGGGTGCTGCCAAGAAACAGCATTAATTAATGACGACTTGATGCGACAATGCATCCTCGGCCACGTTACTTACATAACTTAACATAAGTTACATGCAACAACACACAACATACACACACACACACAGACATGCACACAGAGTGGAGCCATGCGTGTGTGGGCAAGAGAGCAAAACCTCAGGTCCTGCTTCGGAAAGTTTGTGTCAAGCTCATTCAACCACTCCAGAAAGTAGCCGGCATCATGCTCGACACCCAAGTAAGCGTCTTGGAACAAGGTCGTCAGCACATGGAGAATCATATCCTCGGAATTTGTGCATGGGGGCAGTTATAAGTTATAAGTGCTAAGTTGCGATTCGGATTATTGGCAATTGCTGCCTGGCTTCCAGAGTCGCCTCCGTGTTGCCGGTGTGGAAGCCGTGCACCGCATCCGTAGTCTCTACGCCGACGAAGTAGATACGCGGACGGCTCACCGGGAGGCCAAAGGTCGAAGACCTACGGGTGGAGGTGGTCTAAATGGAGTTTTTAATCGGCTCAAACTCAAGCGCTGAAACTAACACTCACACGCAAAGTAACGCAGCTCGCCGGGTAGCTTCAAAAGCACTGTCCTCAAAGCATAGCCGGGGATAGTACTCAGGCCCACGTCCTCTCCGTTGGCCTGCTTCCCCCGCATGAAGTAGTCCATCGGGGTCTGACCAGTGCAAATCAAGATAAGTTGCAGCATCAGAAGCAGGCAGGCTACAGGCTCAACTCGCTCGCAGTTGTTTCCGAACTTCCCTCGCAATCATTCCCAATCTCGGATCACAAACCGTGCACGCACTGAATTTAGAGAAGGCTTTTGTCAAAATACTGAAATATGATATGAAATAATATAATATGATACAAGAATCAATAATCTAGGAATCACGAGTCTGATATCATTACTGAGATCATCTCAGTCGAAGTAAGCGAAGCCTCTTCTTTAGATACTCATCGGGAGCATGCCAGACCGATGCTCTTGAAATCAATGACTTGAGACTTGATCTTTCAGTCAAGTCCAGTCAAGTTCAATGTCTGTCAATAAATCACTGCAGCAACGACGTACAGCTACATCTTCACGGCTGATTCCACTGACGGCTTCTCTCCAACGTTTCTAGTGCTCCCTGGAAAATCAGTTTTCTATCTCGCAGAGATGGCTGCAATCCCATGGAGGAAATCTCTGCCCGGAGCCATGCAATGGACGGCTCCACAGCTGACGGTATGATCTGACCCACACATTCTGGATGCAGTGATTTGTGAGGCTTCGTTAATGAGTGCGAATACTCAAACTTGTCATCGCCCTTGTGGATTGGCTGCGAACAAGTTACGCACGTACAACGTCTCTTTGCAGCTGTGTAGCCGATCAAACCCAAAGTATCGTTGAAGCGGGATGATGATGGAGGCGGCTGAATAGGCGGCATAGGCGGCACAGGTGGCATAGGAGGCCGAGCTGCTTGCGAAGGCTCGGAGGGCACTATCACATCTTCAGTTTCATCCACAAATTGACCTCGCAAACTCTGTGCAACAGACACGACCTCAGTGGCCGCGTCGGGATGCAAATGTCCTGGAGCCAACGGACTGTGATCATGCATCTGCTGCAAAACAACTGCAAAACGGTCTGGTGCTGCGTCGTCGAGAGCACCGGCGGCTGCCTCTTGCGCGGCCTCCGCCTCCTGTGCTTGGGCATGGGGGAAGCTCGGGGCATCGGACGCCTCGGGCTTGCACTTGCCTTTGGCTTTGGCCGTGGCGGCCTTGCTCCTTGGAGTCTTGCGCGAAGCACTGAGTTGCATTCCGAATGGAAGTTGGGGGGTAACCTTCACTCCCCGGGTTCTGGCAGGTAGCACTACACGAGGGCCGACGCGGAACTGTGCCAGCCTTGTGCCCACAAGAAGGTGATTGGGAGCCGTACTGCACCCCACAGCTTCAAATTCGTGCCAGCAAAATTCCACGCACATATCAGCCGAGAGCCCTGGTGTTCGTCTGGCTACGTCACGCAGCACAGCATGCATCGTCTGTAACTGCCAAGAACCTTCCCGCACATTTGGGGTAACAATATTTGCCACCTCCTGATGTGGAACCAGCTTGCCGACCACATGACACAAGGGCCGCTTGCTCACACAACCCAGAAGAAACCATTGAGTTGAGGGCACAATCTGGCTCGGTTGCGACGACGACGAAGAAGACTCAGCAACTGTAGTGACAACTGTAAGTTTCAGAAGAGCACAACCCTGAACCTTCTTCTCTTCCAGACACTGTTGAAACTGCTGCACAGCGGTCTGGACATGATGAAAACAATCATCCGCCTTGCACAGACCTGGGTGTGACTCCTGACACGAGCAGAACAATCTCGGCATGGACTCTGGATTCTGCACCGGTTGAGAATCATACTCAAAAGCATCCTTAATTCGTTCTGCTGCTTCCTCAAAATCGATTTCCTGAACATATTTCGGGTCCAGGGCGGCCACATGATTGCTGATGCCAAGTCCAGATTTCCAAGCTGTGTGGGTTGCCAACTGATGAAGTGATTGATCCAGCTGACGCTGTCCCAGTCGCTTGTGCTGCGACTTGGACCTTGTATGCCGTGTCAGTATCAACACAAACACAAGCAGTTCTCCGTTCTCACTGCAGAAACAATTAGTGACAGACTTAATGCGGCCACGGGGCAGAAGATCTTTTCCAGGAGCTGTTGATGCCTTGGCCGCAACAACATCCCTCAAGGAGCGTTTGGCGCAAACATCCTTGTGCAAGTTCTGCTCTGCAGCTCGTTGAGCGTATATCTCGCGATCTGCTTCACTCATGCATTGCCACTGGTCCTTTACCCTCTGCTGCACTGCCTTGTACTCCGGTGTGCCAATACGCACTCTCTGGCCTTTGAAGCACTCCTGCTGGAAAACGTTTATTGCAGAAACTGCCCTGCGCCTCTTCACAGCTTTGGCCGCATTGACCTTTCCACAGGCTTGCCTCGGCTGCCGACCCCTCCCAAAGTACTTTGCATAACGACGGCCAGCAGTCTGTATGTGAACAACTTACACAGCTGACAGGATATATAGCTGATATAGCCTAGGCTATAGCCGCCCAGAAACTTCACAGCCAACTTGTGCGGCACCACAGTTGTGCTTCGCCGGACTCGACTCATGGTACGCCCGGGTGTTGTACGCGAAACAACCCTGTTTGCAAGCAACTGGCCCGCCCGCTTTTTGGAAGCACCCAATGTCTCCTCATGCACATGTTTCTTGATCCTGGCATGTTCCAGTCGAGTCGACATAACATACGTGTGTAGCTGCAACGACCTCTCGGCCCTCCCAGATCTGTGCGCGACTGATAACTCCTGCGTGTTTGCGTGAAGCTTTTCAACATTCACGCTGGATGCGGGAATGTGCAATAATGCGTCCCGCATCAGCTCCACCAACGTCTGTGTTTTGCGAGCACACCTCCCGCTGTCTGAGATATGTAAAGACACCTGGCGGCCAAAGCAAGCCATGTTACCAGTTGGTAGCCCACAGCTAGCAGCAGCAGCAGCAGCAG